ATCGAGAAATAAAGGATCACGCTCTATTATGCAGAAGCGGTTAAATCTTACATTAACGTGACTTTTACGGAGCGTCGATCAATATCATTTTTGGCGGAAAACCGTGGAAGAATGGCTGGCAATTTCGCGAGTCCGACGTAATCGCGCTGTTGCTGACGAATCGACAACTCGATCCTACTTTGCTCTCGTTAACGACGTAAGACGAACTTCACTGTGACGTTTCGTCGCGTCCTATCGATATGCGAGAGTCGACGAGGGGCGGAATAAGAAGAAGTGGGAGCATAGGATGAAGAAGATCCATCGATGCAGGCTTGGCATCTGCGTGAACGACCTTATCGGAAAGACATAAACGCCTGAAATCCCGGTCGTAAATTAGGATCGGCAGAACGCCGGACTCTTCCTTTGCGATTTCTCTCTTTCTCATCTTACCGAGATAGTCTAAGTCCGCAATGTGACGACCGTGTCTGCACGACAACGCTCCGTTATCGAAAAATCAAACCGAGATGACTCGAGAGGAACCGACCGACCAATAAAAAAGACAACAATTTTACGAGTCGAAAAACGACGTTGCCTGTAGCCGTCAAAGGATTTAGTAAAAATATACAAAATCGTTTTTGTCTGAAAGAAAACAAAAAAAAGTACGCATCTTTCTTCAAATGCGATCATGTTGATGAGAAAAAAATTACTATGTCGACGATAATCGAATTGTGTATAACTGTATCCAAATCAAATATATAGTAATAAATTATCAGAAATAAATGTATTTTACCATGTGTATTTCGTTAATATTGTGACAAGATTATTGTTAACTAATCTTGTCTATTGTTATTTTGTAAAATTAGCAAACGCAATAAATATCTTCGAAATATTTTGTGTCCAATTCATTGCTAGTTTATATTAAATAGGATTCTTTAGCGTAAAAAATCGTTTGTTGGCGAAATAATTTGAAAAATGCTCAAGTTTGGCATACCAAACAGAGCCAGGCGAATAAATAGACTCTGAAATAAGAAAAGAATAGTGAAGAAAAAACATTTCTCGCAATCTTTGCAAAAGCATTTCGTGTCCATGGCAGGAAGTAAAAATTTCTATAGTCTCATTAAAGAGAAAGGGACAAAGACAATCCTTCCAGTTTCAGCTCTGATTTTGACAGCGGCAAAGGTAAAGATTAATGATGCGGATTTTCGATGACTTTCTCGTTCTTATTAACGGTTACATCGTCAACCTAGAATATCTCTCTCATCGCGTATCTCCCTCAGAGATGTACTCTAAGTTTTTTAAAATAGCATTTTTTTCCATCATTATATATATGTTATCATAACGTGATAAGAAATAAATAATTCAAAATTTCAATGTCTATATTAATATTACTTTATAAAAATAATAGAGGATATACATATTTTATATAATTCCGACGATTATTCTATTATTATTATTATTATGTGTTTAGTTTTATTTTGTTACAGCACATTGGACGAGCTCCCAAATGAATGGATAGAGATGTTTCAGAAATATTTCGTATGTTGTACAGCGCACTTATATGCGTATTGCAGGGACTACTACAGAAGTTAAGAATTTTTTACGATCGCGCGAGGGAGGACATAGGGGAGAGGATCGCGACTACGATCCTTCTCATGGTGGTTGCGGCGACGAGGAAAAGAGCCCCCAGGTTTGACGACGAGGCGGAGGGACGAAGGGAACGACAGTAGAGTCTGTACTCGTAACAAGGATGGCACGATTTCAAGAATGCAGAGCACGTTCTCAACCAATGCCGGCAGCCAGGCAGTAAAACAAATACGCCCTCCCTATATATACGGGGTGTCCCGGTAATACCGCGTCTATGCGCCACTTCCCCGCTTAGAGGAAGAGTGCTGCAGAGCAAAGTCGACCTCGTTACCGATACGAATGGAGGTAATGCGCTATGTAGGTAGTGTGACCTTTTCATGACCCCCTGCGGGAGACAGGTTCTCGCAGCCGAAGCTGAAATTAACTCGACAACGGAAGTTTCCTTCGCTATTCTTTTTTACATTTATATTTACGAGTCTCCACCGACACGCCTGTCTCATTAAATCAGTTGCCCATGTCAAACGTACGCATTTTTCAAATTCTTTCGCCAGCAAATAATTTTTCACGGTTTTCAAGACTTCAAGAAAGAGAGATAATACTCTAATTATTACACAATGAACTAATAATTATGCAAACAATTTGTTATACTAATTAAATTAAATTTATGCAAATCAAAGAAATATTCAGTTCAAAATATAACAAATTAATTTTGCAGCTTAGTTTTTATGCGATTATGCCTGTAAATCAGTTGCCCATGTCAAACGTACGCATTTTTCAAATTCTTTCGCCAGCAAATAATTTTTCACGGTTTTCAAGACTTCAAGAAAGAGAGATAATACTCTAATTATTACACAATGAACCGGAATTTTTATCTTTCGAAATATTAAAAGACAGGCATAATCGCATAAAAACTAAGCTGCAAAATTAATTTGTTATATTTTGAACTGAATATTTCTTTGATTTGCATAAATTTAATTTAATTAGTATAACAAATTGTTTGCATAATCATTAGTTAATGATTGTCTTTTAATATTTCAAAAAATAAAAATTCCGGTAAAGAATAAATTAATATTGGAAAAGCGATTATAACCGATAGTACATATAGTGCGCAATTATTTTGTCTCCCATGTCAGAGGCGTGCATTCCTTACGACTGAACGCATAGTCGCCAGCGGAGGAGAGCACGAAACGGGCGATAAAGGCGTACAATAGCTGGTACGAGCGCGGAAACGCAAATGTCCTCTTTCAGAGGCGTCCTCTTTAGAGGCCGGGAAGGGTGATGGACAGGTGAAAGAAGTGGCCAATGTGGGTTGGTTTCGACGTCTCATGTGACACGCATGTTAGTGGTCTTTGTTTTCGCGTCCTTTTGATTGAGTGTGTTCTTTGTCCCTAGACCCTGTATTACAATCCCTTTTATCGTATTCTTCATTTAACGCCCGACGACAGAGTGCTCTCTCTCTCTTCGAAAAATATAATAAAAAAATAAGATTTTTGCAACAGCAACGTTAATACAGAGAGAAATCGGTCCTCTCCCGATAAAAAATTATGTGAGCATTATCAAAATTGTTAACTATTAAAATTTAGAACTGTTTTTATTCACACTATGAATATGTAACTTTATTTATGTCAAATACGATTTTTGTTTTAGAAACACAATAAATTTAAATAATTTAAATAATACATTATCACTCTACGCTTTGTTACAAACAATTTTAACTAAATTTTCCATTTTTGATTCGCGTAGCTTTCAGCTTATTTTTGACGAATATTCGTGTGCATTTTATCGATTGTACGCTGCATGTTTTTATATGTCATTGAAAAATCAAGATTTTTATATATCAATGAAGTCGCGTGCACGGCCGAATCGATTATTTTCTCGCAATCCCATTACGTAAATGCTCCGTAAACAAAAATCTTCGCCCACACACCACGCTCTCGCGAAGTCGCGTGCACGGCCGAATCGATTATTTTCTCGCAATCCCATTACGTAAATGCTCCGTAAACAAAAATCTTCGCCCACACACACTCTCGCAGATCTAAATATTCCACCTGCTCTACATTTCCGATGCGCGGTTCAAGATCGTGATCCCGTTTATTCAGCGGAACCTGTTCTCACTCTCGTATTTGGAGCTCGTTGCTTTTCTTGAGAGTCTGATCTCTGATCTCGGTACGGACAGATCGCACGTGGATGACACCGAGCTGCTGAACTGGGAACTGGGGGACCGGACTATGGACCAGTTTCCACCTGATATAGATCACGATCCGTTTTCCTCGACAGAGACTACTCTGTTTCACGGTTCCCGGGTTCGGTCGAAACCTGTTCGTTCGCGTGGCTCGTGGCTCCTGTGCTACGGGTTATCCCGTCGAATTCATCCTCGCTGGCGCGTGCCGCGGAGAAAACTGGTCCATCCGGATGCTGCCCCGTAACAATGACCACTGTCCACTCGAACGTACACAAACACCGGGCCACAAAACGCGTTCGGTTAACCTTTGGCTCTCATTTTGAGATTTTTCCGGTCAGTTTCAGCCGACGAAAAGAAAAAACTGGTCCATCCGGAGGGAGATGCTGCCGCGCCTCTCTCCCTCTGTCACTATCCACATCGGGGCTAATAAACGCGCGACCGCAAAGTATGCATCCAGTTAGCCTTTGACTTTTCGCGCGAAGAGGGTTGACTACGCTCCCCTTTGCCAACTTCGGAATATTTTGAAAGAACGAATTGGCGTTTTAAATATAAGTGCAACCCTCTTTTAAAAGGAGTAAAAATTAATTTTGTATTTTGACAAAAATTCGATAGATGTAATTGTCGCTCTACATAAGACTTAACTTTTTTCATATATTTCAAAGAATTACGATTTTGTAATTATATTAAATAAATTTTCAAAAAAAAAATTTAATAACAAAACATTTGAATGGTATTAATATTATTTTCTGCGACGTACATGCGTAAGCTCATTGTCGCGCTAAAATCGATTTTACCTTAGTTGCCCTCTAACAAAGTGCAGGGAAGCAAATAGCGGAGTGGATAACGCAGGAAACTATCGTTGCACTATTAGATAAGTTTTAAACAAGTAAAAAAAGTTTTATTTATAAAACAGTATTATGTAATTATTTCTATGTATCGTAAATATATCGATTATTTTATCAAAAGTCGTCAAAAATATATCTATACATGATAACGAGCGCATTGCGGGAGACAATTTATCTACCGGGTAGAAACAAGAAAATCTCAATGTTAACTGTAGGTGATACACAAATTTTCAAATCGGTCGATGATATCTTTATTAAGCCGAAAATTCGAGCCGAAAAACAAATAAAAGAATAAATTCTGAATACAAAATATGATAAAACTATTATTTATTAATAGTAATATGCAGAACTAAAATGTGCGTTTTAAACGTTTAATATTTTAGCTAAAAAACCGATAAGATATTTGTTGCCCTCTTTTGTTCCTAAGCAACCCTCTGTCTTACACGTACGCAAACTCACGCGGAGACATATTGCGACGAACGACAAGTATGGACTTTTAAAGTGACAGCATCGGACTATCTTAGCACCTGTCACCTCGTATCTTAAAATGTACGAACCAAATAATCCACAGCGAATGTGCAACGGTTCACAAACCACCGAAAGAGAACAAGCCAAATTGCAGAAGATCAAAGAACTGACAAGCATCTTAAAGGTTCATTCTTCAGCAAGTTGTAAACAACGAATTTTTTTCCTTTTCACATTTATTTTTATTGTACTTTTATTTCTCTTCAAATTTCTCTTCGACGATCCTAAGATTTCGTTCGATTTATTGCACAGGACACGGACAAGAATCTCACCATATGCGAGGAAATACTGACGACTTATATAAAGAAACGATTAAAGGTATGCACAAAAAATAATTCTTTTACATATAAATTTTGTTTAATTTCGGTTAATTCTATCTTTTACTGTATGAATAATCATCGCGAGTACTGTATCCTCTTATCGAAACACAATGATACATGAAGTAATCGACAATATATAATTATAACTATTGAGCCCCATAAATATGAAATTTCTATAATATTTACAAATCATGAAATTTCTATAATGCAAATTTTTCATACAAATATAGATACGCTTTGTTATGTTGCTTCCTTAAATGCATTCATAAAATATAATTCAATGACTCACGATAACGCAAAACTATATAACATTTGTTGATTATATTAAAAAATTATATTTAAAAAAAAATATCAATGTGAGATGCGTACTTTTCTAATGATAGTCGCATATCTAATTCTCGAAATTTACCATCCTTTGTACCAACCACCGTGCAACGATAAGCCCGGATACCAACCGTAGCCGTACAATCCGTAGCTACTCAATCCGCCTAATCGATACCTGAGAAATCGAACGTACATATCAACGTCAGCGCCAAACTGTTGTCTCAAGATTTTTATATTCACGTCGTTGACAAGATATTTATCTGTACTATTTACCACGGCAACGCAGGAGTGTAAGTGCCATAAGCCACGGGAAGCAAACTTCTTTTTCCTAGTTTCTTTTCCCCTAAGATTTCCTGGACGCTCGGTTGAATTTGAAGAACCGTGCTTGCTTGCGAAGATACGTCATTGTTCTCGGCCGTTTTTTCGGCGACGAGAACTCCGTCTCCCGATGCCAAAATAATCAACGATAGTAAAAGCTAAAACAATTGTCGATGCGTAGACAATGCGAATATAAGTCACTAATCAGCGAACGACTGTACGAGGTATTTCGAACTATCTTGATTGTTTCGTTAACTAAAATGTGTCGATTATGATACAATAAAAATAATAATATAGAATAAACATTTTCAAAAGAATTGATATTCATTTCTTAAATCAATCCATTTATGATTGATTTATATTATATGCTAAGCGGATTAACAATTTTAAAATTAATTAAAATACGTTTTAATATCAATAATTTTTGGGTAAATTTATTGTACATTTACACGTACGCATTCTCTGAAATATCGAAATTTCAATCACATTTCTTTTTAATGATATTAAAGACACATCTGAGAATTAGGAATCGTAACTCAAACTGGTGACAACAATATTATTTCGCGCACAGTCGGTATATACGAAAAGAAATGCACCAGTTTTATATTCAATATTTCAAATAAATTAGTATATACGAGTTTAATTGTTTACCAGCAGTTTCATATTTTAAACGTGGCGCGCACTTACAAACTGATGCTGTTTAAGGGTTGATACTTCTTTTATACCGAGCAAGTCGTTCGTTGAATTTATAGTGAATTCTAGATCCATCGCACGTATAACTAACATCCTGACTGACAACTCCGCAAGACCACTCCCATGTAAAGAATCGCTAAATGACATAACGAGTGTCGCGATTCATTACTGCAATCCTCAAAATAAGAATGCGCGATATAAGATAGATGAGAAATTCGAGTATTTTTATTTTAACGTTTATTTCTTCGAATGTAAAAAAAAGTACTATAAAAAAATCAAATCTTAAATACTTAAATAATAACATAATAAAATTATGAGACAAAATTTTACGAATTGTATTACGTCAAATGCAAAAGAAAAGAAAGATAAAAAGAAGAGAATGTCCTCTTAACCATTGTACAAAATATAAAAATGCACTTTCACGTAACAACAAAAACTAAACACAAAATATTGACGAACTATCACTGTATACTGTAATCGTTTGTAATTTTTACCAGACAATTCCTTAAAAAAATATATGCTATAAATATTGTAGATCGTGCTCGAAATTTTTAAGGATCTTAAAGAATTTCACGCAAATTTTTTCAACGCTATTATTACTGAATTAAATTTGAAACTCTAATATATTCGTCATAGAAATGATTTTACTTTTTAAATATAAATGTCAATATTCCTTTATTTTATATAAAAATAAATTGAAATATTCTAAAATTACATTCTGACAAGAATCACAATTAAAAATTCTACTCATTATTAAAATCAATGCAAGCAGTATCTATTCCAATTGATATTCAATTGAATAAAAACTTCACCGTATAATAAGATTATAATATAATGCCGTGAAATCTTTGCTTTATATGCAGTAATCGACTTTGCGAGATTTTCTGATCGTAATGATTGATTTCGTTCAATAACAGTCGCTTTGTCGCTGATTACATACTTATCATTAATTCCATAGCATAATGATGTTTATGACCTAATTCAAAAGCATTCATAATTTCTCATTTCACACTAGTGTATTTAAAAATCAAATGTTAACGAAACAAAGAAACCGTGCCGTTCGCATTATCGTTCAATTAAACCAGCATTGCCGTTCATCTTTCATATAAGGTATCTCTAATCCATCCAGTCGTGTAATATCAAGTGTGCTAAGAACGTCGGTTATGCAATCGCGAGCCCTTCCTTAAACGTGGAGCAAGTTTTTGTTTCATCCCTCCCTCGCGAATCCTCGTCCTAAGAGATTTTGTCATCGCCAGACTAGGAAACGGTGACTTTCTCTAGGCATACAGAACAAGTCGTATACTTCTGTCTACTTACGAAAGTCCCAGCTAGGAAATATCCGAACTAACGCAATGTATCGTCGTCCTTGTCACCAGCCGCGCCAACGACATCGATCGAATACGACAAACGATATTTCGAATCGACATTTACTCTGTCATCAGCCTTTCGCAATACCACCATAAATTCCCGTCTTTCTTATTGTCACAGTCGATTATAGTCGCGTGCACCGTAATTGTTTTTATGGAAACGCTCGCGCATCAGTGAGCATGTATAATATTTTATATAACGCCGACATATTCAACGTTAAATGCTTATAAATAAAGAAATGTAAACAGTTATACTTAAATAAATCGCTAAAGATCAAACTTCGAAAATCTTTAAATAATTACATTGGACTAATTAAGGTGCGAATAATACTCAAAAAAGATGAAACTAATTTAGAAAACCTTTAAATTTCATATAATTTCTTTCAAATAAATTTTATTAATTTTTTTTAACAATATATTGTTTTATTCACATTTCTTTATCATGCTTCAAAATTTGCCATTTTTCAAATAATCAGCTCGACATAAATTTTTAATTTATCAAAAATTAATGTCGTTTTTTCATTTAATTAGTTCGTGTTTATAAGCGAGAAATGGTTGTTCTTAAATTCGCTTCCTGCTTCAAATTATAAATGTGTAAAATTATAAAGCTATTAACTCGTATGTAAGAAAATTTATTACAAAAACAATTTTTTTCCGTATTGGCAGTTATCGATGGAATAGAGATTTTTTTGTACTCATTAGACAAGCTATCATAAGACTCCGAGAGTGAAAAACAGAAAGAGAGAAAGAGACAGATATCGGCACTAAATATAAATTAATTTTACGCCTACACGCACCGGTGAATCCCCTTTCACTTAGGAAGTTATAAGAAAAATATACAAAAATGCAAATATTCATGAGAGATAGTCTTTTATAATTTTAACAGTTGGACTGATTTCCTTAAATTTTTAAAAATATTTAACAAAAATATTCTTCCCAATTCTTTACATCAAATAAAATATCTAACTAGAATCAAATTTGCTATAAATAACAATCAATCACAATCTATATTTATATAGATTAAGAACATTAAATACTTAAGAATTAATAATAATATTAATAATAATATAAATCATTATTAATAATAATATTATATGTAATTTTGTTAATTAAATTAATTATTTTCTTTAATTAAAATCACAAAGAGATTTTTTTATTATATGTTATGTTCTCAAAATAATAATTAAATCATTGTTTGGCAATCTGATAACTTTTTATTTAAAAAAAAAGTAAATTGCCGTTAACAACGGAAATGATGAAAAATCGAACATAATTTCGCGTTTCCTTTGAAAATAATAGAGTATTGCCATACACGCAGACACATCGTTTTTGTGCATGCAATTAAATTACGGAAGAGTTTGTCCAGCCAAAATCACATGGCCTAATTTTTTTTTTTTTTTTTTATTTTCCCTTTACTAGTGACAATAATTCATTTGCAAGCACGGTCCCGCATTTCTCTCGTTCCTGCACCGGTCTTATATCGTACCGCTTCAGTTGTCGCAAATCAACGAGTCGGCCCGTGCAATTCAAGTGAAACTCGACATTTCTTTCCGACATTATGCAAAAATTTGTCCCCGCCAGTTAAGTCATTGTTTAGCGAAATCTACGCCGTCGCAATTTGCCGACAGTCATTGTGGAGTTCTGAGACAAGAAGCTTTCGCGCGTTCTAACATTTTATCGCTTTAAAAACATTTCTTACGATTGTGACTTTTAAATCTCATTTGTCAATAATTATTATACTTTAAATAAAATAATCAAACAATATAACGCAACGTGATTTATGACGTAAAACAAATCGCTTAAAATATAAATGACATGTGTGAATCTTCCAAATAAAATAAAGAATAACAATAAAAACCGCGTTGAGTGTTTAATAAATGCAAAAGTGATGTGTCTTAGTTAGATTATTAAAAGTGACTCAACGCGTAGTCTGATTCGATGTGCAGTACGCGATTCTTTTTGATCATCAATTAAGTGTCTTACAGAATGGAATCGCGTACTCGAATACTTATTCTCTGTTTATTATATATCGCGCGCGCTTCTGAAGTGCTAGCAGAAGAAATCGAGTTCAGAGCGAGATTCCCGAGATCGGAGGACGTCAAAGATCTATCGAGACTAGATACGCTTATACAGGAAATTGATGGAATCGACAAACAATCCGCGTATAAATTACGCGATAAGAGAGCACTCGGTTTTCTGCTATCAGGTTTGGCCCAAATCTTCGGATACACGGTGACTCCGATTCAAATCGCCTCGCTGCCAAATCCAATGAATATCACGATACCTGCCGCAATGTCAAACTCGTCCACGATGGGTAACGTCATGGGACAACAAACTGCATCTACTCAACCGACGTCAATGAACGCCACGGCGCCGAGGCAACAGGAAACTATTAGATTTACCGGCGTATTAAACTTCGGCAATAATTCGGACATTGTAGGGCATCTTCAGCGTTACGAGCAGATCTTTCACGGTCGTCAAAATAATGCGACAAATACGATGATGACGATTTCGCGACCCGTATCGATGCCGATGCCTCCCGCGAAAATTTCGATGGATCCCACAACGAACTCGGTGACCAGACCACCTTTGTTAGCGCCATTTTTCGTGAGAATTCCGTTGCCGATCGCGCCTGATCTTCCACCAGCCACAATGCCCATTGAAAATTTCAAGTTTTCGTATCCCGTCCCAGCAGTTTCAATCGTGAGCGAATCAAACAAAACCGCAGAAATGCCGGCTCGGGAAGAACAGGAAACGATATACAGAAATAAGGAGAATACAGAACGATATACGGTGGAAGAAAAGGATATCTATGACGAGAAAGACGTGATGAAGCCGGTGAACCATCAATTATACATCGACGAACCGAGCTCGCAGCAAAACGTATCGAGAGACTGAAGGAACAAGAGGAGCAGAGAAACTGCGATAAGAATACACATCATAAAGAGAACGAGATAAAAGAGAAAGACAGAAACCGAAAAGAAGAGATCGCTAATCGAAATCGAGAAGAAGAAATCGCTAATCAAAATCGAGAAAAAGAAATCGCTAATCGAAATCGAGAAGAAAAAATTGCTAATCAAAATCGAGAAGAAATCGATAATCAAAACCGAGAACATGCTTCTAGGTATGAACCAATGGAGAAAAAAAAACCAGCATATAACGATGAAGAAGATGAAGACTCTGCCGAAAGGTACGAGGAACATATCAGTCAAGCAAATAAATCTTCGAAACAGCCTCTAAGAGAGGCTGAGAGCGAGGAAGTTGAAGACGACGATTCTAACGAGCAATTTCACGGATATAAGCAACCTGAGAACTTTAACAAGTATATAGAAATGGACTACAATCAGCAATTACCTATCGGCGACTACTTCCACGAGGGTGACCCTGAAGTAATCCGCGACAGCTACGGCGAGATATTGGACGATAAAAAACTGGAGGACGACAGAATCGCCGGTTATATCAACATGTTCAAACATCCGTATGTATATAATTCGCAGAGTGTTCGCAATCCCGAAGACGCGTCTGGAGAAGATGAAAAGGAACCATCTACCGCAGACGGTTACGATGAACACTTGATTAGGCTACAGAAGCTCAGAGAAGAATACGCCTTGCCGAAGATGAAGTATGAAGAATACGACTTGAACGACGAAAGTGAAGGAAAAAGAGACGACAGGGGCAACGAAAGAATCCAGAATCGTACATCGACGCGACCAAAAACAGGGCGTGTTCGTGGCAAGGAAAATAATCGCGCGAAAATGCCAACTGGATCGAGCAAGAATATTCTACGCGATGACGCCGCAAAATTCGAGAACACGAAGTCGCAGGAAGAAAGCGGTTTCGTAAAACACATACCTCTAATCGTGCCTATACGCTACATCGATACGAACGACAAGGTGCAGCAAGCAACGACGCGACAGCTGAGTTATGAAGAATCGGATAAATTGCCGAACGTCAGATTGCCCGCAGATAACGTCGATTCCATGCAAACGCTCGCCAATGAGAAACTGACTCCGCAGATCGGTTTGCCCGAAAGACCGCGAAAATTGCACGAAGGCGAGCACAAAGTATTGCAAGTCTGGCCGCCGCCCTTCGATTACGCCTTCGACAATACGGCACCGACGAACACCATTATTTCACCGAATTCACAGAACTATCCTTCAAATTATTACCAACATGTAAAAAATATCGCGGCAGATGACGCGAACAGCGACAACTCTTCGGAACAACCTTCCGGTTACCCGGTCAACATTATTTCACCGAATTCACAGAAATATCCTTCAAATTATTACCAACATGTAAAAAATATCGCAGCAAATGACGCGAACAGCGACAACTCTTCGGAACAACCTTCCGGTTACCTGGTAGTCGTTGGTAACCCGTATCAATATCCCTACAACTTTTATTACTTCCCGAACGAAAATATAAATCCACAAAATCATCCTCATCCCAATACCAAAAGCACATATCAGCAAAATCAAATCCACGCTCCTCAGCAAAATCAAATCCACGCTCCTCAGCAAAATCAAATCCACGCTTCTCAACAAAATATTAATCAACAGTTTACTCGAGCGAACTCTAATCTTATCAAAGACAACCTGAATGAGACCACGAGAGATCACTATCATCAACCTCACCAAATTCCAACCAATGTTCTCGATCGTTACAGATATATTTTTGGCGAACATACTCCTGAGACCAAGGAATCGGTTAATATCGACACAAGAGATCAAATTCCTAATATTGAAAACTGGTCGAGCAAAATATATCAATCGCGATCGAGAGCCGAGCAATCTCCTCCGGTTCTCGCACAGTTGCAGAATGTGGCATCTTCAAATCAAAACGTGCACAGCAGATCTTCAAATTCGCGTTATTTACGACCAGTAAGAAGACAAAAAAGGTCTCAACCGGAGGACCAAAGCAAGGATGATAAAAAGGTGAAGATTTTGCAACCGATCCCGACAAGTAAACCTTTCGACGATCCTCAGAGCGCGCACGACTTCTTCGGCTTCAACAAGGACGATTATAGTTTTACAGGCGAAAGCAGCGACGCATTGAAAGTTGCCGAGGAGAATGGCAAAATCGCGAAAGAATCGGACATGCCCCTCGATCCGGTCGTTTATCATCACGATAACGAAAGTGTCGTGAAACACGCCGACGAACCGGAAAATGACACGGAGAAAGCCAAAGTCACAGAATACAGGAACAAAGTGGCGACCTTAAAGGTATCGGAGCAGAGGCAATTAAAACCGAACGGACCAATTCATTACGTAGAATTTGTACGCAATATTTAATTGCAATATCTTATAGAAAGAATTCTAGTAAAAAATATGCGACGCGTTGTTAATTTGTATATTATTAATAAAACTTATTTCGTGATATGGAAAATTTATGACACATTTTATATAGCATCTGTTGTTGACACGAAATTTTCATATTATATTTAATCTGAATTTGAATAAAATTTGCGTTATTAAAATGTTATTAATTGTTAAATAAAATAATGACGTATAATAAAAACATATGTATAATTTATATATTATAATAAATTAATATATGTACACCGTATATACTATAGTACTCACCCTCTTTCTTTCCTTCTCCATTCCTTCCTAGTATTATACATATTGTAAAATATACACATTTTCATACAAAATAAAATTTGTACGAAACAATCCCGCGACAAAGAAAAATATATATTAAAAAATGAAAAGAATTTTCCAGACAATTCAATAATTTCAGAATTTTTTTTCAGCCGGTAAATCATTGATTAAATAATATTATACTCATTTATCACAAATCCAGTAACGTTCTCCAATGTCTAATTAAAAGAGAGAAAATAATATAATTTCTTTGTTTCAGTTTTTGGTTACAGATTTAATTTGTAATTAAATTATTTAATATTAAATATACTTAATGATATTTTAATGATAAAAGCTTCAAATTTTAGATCTGTATCAATAAATATGTAATTCTCTATCTCTAAAAAGAATCTATCAAAAATCAAAGAAAAAAATTTTTACAGCGCTCATCTTATGTATGAAAATATTTTTTAGCTTTCGTACATATGTTGCAGGAAAAAAGAGAAGGGATACAAAGAAGAAACGAGCTGGAAAATAGGATGGCCGAAATACTAGAAAATCTAAAAACGCGATTGTTGGTTGAATGAAGCAAATCTTAAATAATAAATCTGTATATTATGTGACTTATATGGATAATATATTATCGTTTACATTACTTGTTATTACGTTCTATATCTCATAAGAAAATAAAATTATTAATGTCAATTTATCTTATTAAATCAGTTTCTTTTTCTTATTAAAATACCAAAGTGCAATTTTATTAGCTTTATGTACGAATATCTTTGTAAGCAATAATGATTTCTATGCTTATACTCGCGCGCGAATAAATAAAACGCAATGCTCGACAAAAGATCCTTTTCCATATACAAATAAAATCAGAAATTGAATTTGTTGAATTTACACGAGCTCAAAATTCTTTCCAGCTAGCAAACATACATGATTTGACGTCAAATGACGTCATCTGGACATCAAGTAACGTTATTATTTTGACGTCAAATGACGTCATGTGGACGTTAAATAATATTATTTTGACGTCAAATTACGTGCATTTGCTACCTGAATTGTCTCTTACTATGTTGACATTAACACATTTATGGTGCATTATCACACATTACGTAAAATTTCGATATTTTACAATCTTACCTTCTCTCAATCTGAAGAGAGACGAAGAGAGAGAGAGAGAGAGAGAGAGAGAGACACACTCGGTCGAAACTCGCTGCGTTCTTTCCGATGAATGTCCACACAAAAAATACATTGCACTTGAAATAAGTAAACACGCAAAAGTCGCTTAAAACCGTACACGATCTCAGATTTACGAAATATATCCGACGATTTTTGATCATTTTATCGGAACGTACGATCAGAACGATTCGAGATCGATGCATATAATGTCCAGCGTATAAAACAAATACTTGGATTAATTATTGTTTATCAACACCAAGAATCGTATGCGTTAACAATTTTCAATCGCGAATACGTGTGTACATATCTTCCGCACATTTTTTCCGCAAAGAACGATACGAAATGCAACATTCACGCGCGTTTCACACAATGCCGGCGTTACCTGCATGAAATTGTTGCTGTTTAGTAACGCCATCTCTTTCATCTTAAAGGCTAGAACTACGTAGCTAAAGTCATCTCTCGACTGTCGGTAAAATTATCATTTGGTGTGTATCCGTACTACATACCGACAAACTGTCAAAAACACATGTCGCGTGCATGATTTTTATTTAATATAACAAGTGAAATATAGAATTAAATATATATGTACAATTTTTAAAACGGATGTCTATTCTAATATAATTTTCCTATAGTTCTAATCGTGTTCTTTCAATTTTTAAGAAATTCTAATTATTATCAACTTTAATGAATTTACTCATAATTATATATAGTCGCTTGATTGCCTGTTTATGTATCTTTTCTAAATATTGCTCAATTTTCGGAATGAAGTATTCTATTATAATATAATAAATTTTTTTTGTTCCTAATTACCATGCATTTTTGTCCAGCGGATTTTCTTCTTCGAGTCCTTGTATTGTTACGGCCCAAAAATGGGTTTTGTGTGTGAATTTGATTAATATAAATATAATATTAATAACATTAATAATATGAAGTACATCCCGTTTGACACTATTTTGGTTTTAAAACACAAGATTCTTTGCCCTGATTAATCAATCAAACGCTTACTCAAAGTATTTCATTGATTAATTTAATAATTCGAATACTCCTAATAATCCAAGACAGAATATATGATGTCATTAATTGGTCTCAGAACAATCAAACTTGCTTTATTCGAAAACGCTATACGTTACCGCCGGCATAGCTCTCAGGTTCATTAGAGTACGCAAACCTCCTCACCCGGCAAATGCCTTCGTTAAGGTGGAGATACCATCGAGGAGGAAAAATGTGTGAGGATAGGCTTTTTCCTCTTTTTCAATTCTCAGGATAGGTATTATTTTATTTTTACAAAATATAATACAAAATAATTTATTACATGGAATTATACGAAAATGTCCAAAATATGCGTATAATAAAAAATGTACTAAAAATTGTTAGATTAGACAAGGCTTATTAGCGACAATTAATTACGCGATATTTATTATTAATAATCGACATATAATTATAAAGCTTAATAAGTTTTATATAATGTAAAGAATCGCGATCAAAAGAGTCATTAATAAAATTATTAATTGTCTTTAATTGTAGAAGAAAGTATTTGTGCACTATTGGTGCATTTTGCGCAGACTTTCAAAAAAAAAATTCAAGACGCAAAAAATAAACAAAGCTTCGATGTACATCAACGATTAAATTATAAAACAAATCGCGATTTAAAATTCGCGAGCAAACGCGACAAATAAATCAACCGACGATATTCGTAATATTCGATTGCGATATGCGTAATTTCTATAATATCCACCGCTCAATTTATTTTTCAATGCGCGATTTTATACGAATGTCGCGATCAACAATAAGATATATATTCTATCTCGCGGATGACTGTTTTAACAGAATAAAACGGGTCTTATAAATCTTTAAATATCGTTATAAAAAATCGCGCTATTGTCATGTTTTATAGAGAATAGATTCAACGTTTTTAACAACGCTCTCCCTCCGCCGGGTGACACGCTGGTTAATATCCGACAGAGAGAAGAACGATCCTAAAGGTGGAAAACGACTAACGTCTTGTTTCTACATCAGTTTCTGCAAAATCGATCCGCAAAGAAAAGTTAAGTGATCCATTGAACGTCAGAGTCGCTGCAAGATGGAACGAATCCCGAATCTTCCGGACTACTCCCGATAGCAATGATTTCGGTAATGAATCAACGACAGTTACCATTTATCTTCATTTCACGAGATTGAAAATTGCGCGAGAAAACATGTTCTTTTATTATTAAGAAATATATCTCTTTATTGAAAAATAAATGGATATAACAATTTTTTATGAAAATGTGGTTACGAACGACTATATTTATGGATAATAAAATACATGCATCGTTATTATAGTTAGTGTTAAATGTGCGAATACAAGTAATTCTCGAATAATAATATTAATACTAATAATGATAGAAGAACACTTTTAATGAAGAGAAGAAAATATATTTTTCTTCTAAAAAAAATATATACTGTTTAAATTAATTTCTTAATTCGACTTTAAAGAGGCGTGTGGCGCTCATCGTTGTGTTATTATCGAAACCATTACTTTCAGGAATCGCCAGGAAAACCGAGGATTAATTCCAATCCTGCAACGAAAATCCCCAATTTTCAACAAAGCACCAAACTAGACTTTGCGAATGGATCTTACAAAAACCAACAAGAAATAATCCTCCACGATAAAGATCGTTGCGACTACTTGCCGGTACGAACCAGACAACATTATTAACGTTCACCTGACGAGAGGGACAGCAATCGCTTTCAAAAGCAGAAAGAACGGAAAGAACGGAAAAAACACGGAAAAACGCGGAAAAAGTATGGTGTTTTTGCAGTGTAATTTATTAATTTATTTTACAAATATTTGATTGCGAAACGGAATTTGTAAATATAACGCGATTTTTTCATACAGGATTAAATCATCAATTTAAATATATGTGGAATAATTAAGGAATCGTCGATTTCTCCGAAAATAAAAAATTGCACGCGCAAATAACTATACTAATGATCGTAATAGATTCCAAGTGAGATTCCACGACCGATCGCGTTTTATGACTTTCGTAATCTCCCGTGTTTAAATGAGTAATGATATCGGTGTAATTGCGGTGTAACGATTTTCCCGTAGAGGATTAAATTATCAGTTAACATAGTTACGCAAAATGATCGACGAAAATCATCGATTTTATTGGAAAAAAAATCGCGCGCGCCAATAAGCGCATTAATTTAATACAGGGTGTCTACTCCCTTGTAAAACATGGGATTCTCAGGGAATTTTTTTGTGCTTGGAGAAATCAGGAAATTCTCATGAAATTTTATTGGGAATTTTATATTGTAAGCGATCTGTAATTCGCCGATGAGCCAAATTAAATTTGTAAAGTTTAAAATATATATAAAATATATATAAAGTTCCCCGATTTTATTAACGACTCTTTGATATGAAAACACAAACGATTAAATTTATATGTATGAAAACATTTTTACAATACATACTTTAAAAATAAATATATGTATATATGTTAATTGAACGAACTTTTATATATTGTCATTATACGCCTTTTGGTAATTTTTCGTATAATTTACAAAAGAATACATATTTCATATAATATACAATTATAATAAATACAATTTTATATAATATTATTATAATTTCAATATTAAATAATAATTAAAATACAATTATAATTATATAATTTACAAATTGATGATGCTATCACTATCAAATATATATAATCAATTTTTACAAATATTTTATAATGCAAATAATTTGATACTGAAAGCATTAACATACATTTGGGCTTATACATATTTACATTATAATAGCACAACGTATATATATATTTTTCTAACATTTTTAATATAAAATATATATTACAACACATTATAACGTTTTATAATGTTATTGTGATTTATTTTTTTAAATTTTCCTGAAGATAAACTTAAATTGGATATTATTATTATATATTGTAATCTTATTTATAGCTTTTTCTTTAATTTCCTAATGGTCCCTATCAATCCTATTTGCTGGTTGAACCAGCAGAAATCTGAGATTTGAAAAACGTTTCCCTGACATTTAATTACCCTACTCGCGTGCCCTAACCGCGAGCCCTACTCGCGTGCCCTAACCGCGCGCCCTACTCGCGTGCCCTAACCACGCAACCTACTCGCATGCCCTAATCGCGTACCCTAATTATACCTTATGTATTTCTCTCTATGCATTTTGATAAATATTGACCGCCTATTTTACGTAGCTTATTTTCATTCTTCGGGCCAGTTGGACCTACCTTTTGTTGCTCCTGGCCATTTTCTGAATCGATCTCTAATCAGAGATCGAAAAAGGAGATACATACTTCTTTTATCGCCGGCTATTTATTATCGCCAACGAATAAGCGCAAGATTTTTCTTGCGCTCGTAAGAAGATGAACTCCTTCTTTTGCCGGGTAATTATTATCGTCGGCAGATGAGCGTAAACATTTCACGCTCGATGACAATCGTGTGATTTTACGATCGTTCGTTAGATGTTCATTTTAATATAATTTTATTTTAACTGAGATAAAGCCAAATTATCAATCATAATTTTGATTAAAAAATTATGATAAATTATAATAAATATATAAATTTGATTAAAATTTATATATTAATATATAATTTATTTAATAATATAATAATACATATATATAATAATATACAATTTATAATAAAATAAAATTAATTTACACAACATCTATGCAATTTGTTACCATATTACAGATAATTTAATTGATTGATCATTTGGTCTCTCTTATATCAGTTAAAACAAAGTTTAAAAACAATGTCTACAAACAAATTCTACGATATGGATGAGCTAAGAAATAAGGATAAGATGTGCGTTAAGAATGAGTTACATACGTATACATCACACGTATACATCACACGTATATAATTGATAAAATTATTAGCGTTCTTTATTTAATAAATTAGATAAAATCTACAAATCAGAAAAAAATGTTTTCTATAATTTTCCTTTCATAATTTAGACTTTAATTTACTTTTGCAATAGATGCAATGCATATCAAAAGAATTTATTAAAAGTTATTCAATTTGATTTGTTTTAGCTCATCCATTTCTTAATTTATATAATAATAAATAATAATATATAATTTATAATAAAATAAGATTAATTTACACAATATTTATGCCATTTATTATTATATTATAAATAATTTAATTGATTGATTATTTGATCTTCTTATATCAGTTAAAATAAAATTTAAGAACAATGTCTACAAACAAACTCTACGATATGGATGAGCTGTGAGAAATTAGAATAAAATCGGCGCGAGTTATAAAAATGAGTTACCATTATACGTATATAATTGATAAAATTACTAGCGTTCTTTATTCAATAAATCAGATAGAATCTACAAATTGAAAAAAATGTTTTCTATAATTTTCCTTCTTTAATTTAGACTTTAATTTATTTTTGCAATAGATGAAATGCATATTAAAAGAATTTATTAAAAATTATTCAACTTGATCTGTTTTAGCTCACCCATTTAAAAGTAACGGATTTTTCTACAATCTACAATCTATAATCTACATCTACATTCTCTACAAAACCGTTACTTTAAAATTAAATAAAAGTTTGTTACTCGCCGACACTGATGCGCAACAGCGGAGTTGTTGGTCTTGAGGCTACGTTGTCTGTAACATACAAATATAAAATCTAAATTATAGCAACGCCCAAAATATAATTAATATTTCAAAAAATTGTTATTTTACGTGTTAAATTTATAAATTTTAAAGACTACTTTTTTAAATAATGGAAACATTTATTGAACTTATGTAAAAGTCTTTTTTTCTAATTTTCTCTTGTTTAATTCATTCAAATAATTGAGATTGAATTAATGCGCGTACGCGACTTTTAACAACCAATATACAAATAATAAATACTCACCCTTGGGTTGCTCCGCTGGTGCAGGATGCAGGGGCGCTACGTTGATCTGTAACATACAAATAGAAAATTCAAATTGTAGTAGCGCTCAAAATAATTAATATTTCAAAAAATTTATGATACCCATTGAATTTTATATTTGATGCATATAATAATAAGTAGATAAATAAAATAATTTTATAAATTTTGAGAAAAAACACTACTAATAACTCTAATAATTCTATATAAAGCCATAAGCTAAAAGCAAAAACTTTTACAAAATTATAGCTTTTATATAAAATCTTTTTCTCTAATTCTCTCTTGTTTAAATCAAATAAATAAAAAATCAAATTACTATTACACGATTAACGGCTTAATTTAAATTGCATGTACGCAATTAATAAATAATTAATATACAAATAAAAAAGTACTTACCACAAAGTTGTTCCACCGGTGCCCGATGCCTCTTCTAGGCCTCCTCCTCCTCTCAGAATGATTCACACGCGCGATACTTTAAATT